CATGTGGTTCACATCTACTGGCTTGCATCTTTGGTGTAGCAATTTGGTGTTTCACCACCACGCATTGGAAATATGAGTTCAACTCCCATGTGGGGATGTTTTATGTCTAGTATCTTGATCTGTCTGCTGGGACATTGAACCCCTCTCACTCTCAGCCCAGATGGCCCTTACAAGAGGGGTTGAAGCAGCCCGTCTTCAAAATTTTGTGAAGCAATCTGAATCCTTGGAGACTCTTGAATTTGGATCTAGTTCTGTTTATTTGTCATTTTCTTTTTCTCTGAGGTTTTAGAGAATCATCATCTTCCTTTTTCTTTTGAGATGTAGCCTGTTCAGCCCGGGTTGGCCGATTTTATCAATATCAGAGCCGACTGCTGTCTAGATAATCCAGGCAGTGTGGACAGGCCTTTGTCATGTAATCCACAAATGTGGATGTTTTTGGGACATTTCACTTCCTTAGACTTACAAACTGACATTTTTGGCCGTTTTGAGTAACTGACCATGAGGGCAGAAACCAAATGTTCTGTCTGCTCTATCAAAATCTTAAGATTATTCAGAGTTGTTATCGAGATATTCAAAGGACTTCATTCGAAAAAGCTTGACATGTTGTGAAACTCAAAATCTTTTACATCAAATTTCTCAAAACTCGGTACTAAACAAACAGAACTTTGTAATTCTGAAGTAGCGGTTTGTTCCGTGTTTGGGTTTATGATTTCTCCCTAGCAGTTGGATGGAGGGTGCTACTGGTAGATCCTGCTTCTTTTCTTTTCCTCTGTTGTTTTGTCTATCTGTTGAGCTGTTTCCCTGCTCTATATGACCTTCATTGCATCGATGTGCTTCTCTTTACGTAAACTTGAAAGATTTCTCTGTCTTACTCGTTGTGATGTTTGGTGGTCTGTGAGTGATATAGATCTAGTAAGAAGGTAACATTTTCTTTCATCCCCTCTCTCTCTTTCTCTCTGTCCATCCAGGTAAAACCCGATTTTCCCGCACCAACAGCAGCTCAACGCTGAGCTCCAAGAACCAAGTGGCGGCCTTCGCGACCTTGCCACGTAAGAGTCGACACAAGGTCAAGTCGGACAGCACCATTAGCCAAAAGATCAACTGGTTCTTTCTAGGAAAAGGGAAGTTGTAGCAGTCCTCAAGACAAACCTGGACGTTCCAACGACCTTGAGCTCTTTCCCCAAGAGGAAGCTGTCTTTTGAGAGACCTTGACCTTGCAGCCTCGGAGATGAAGGAATCACAAAGGCAGCTAAACAATGTCACAGCACACGTGTGTGGGTGTTGGTGTGTTGTGGCATGACGTACCAGCTGGCATGACATGACGCAAAGAGTTGTGACAGAAGCATGTCTGTTACTTCCCTCTCCTGCCACCTGTCGGCTTGACCGGAGCTGTCAATACAGAATGTGACATCTCACAGACTGAAGCAGCTGGCTGATCTATCAGTGTGCAAACAGACATCGTCGACCTGTGCATACTTGCATCATCGCTTCCCCAGATGACCTCAAGCACAGAACCTGCCCTCAGCTGAGACTGCTTTTAACCCACTGACCGGCATTCGACCCACTGACCATCCCACGTCTAGACCGGCCCACATCTAGACCGGCCCACATCTAGACCATCCCACTTCCATCTCGACCAGGCCACTTCCAGATCAGCCCACCCAACGGGAACTATCTCTGTGGTTACCGAATCCTTCAGATTGTGACTGCCAGCGATCTGTGGAAGCTTTTTCCATGTCTCTGTCCAAGGTGGCACCCTACGGGACATAACGTAACAAGTCCAGCTTTTTGGACACTTGGATCTGTCATCTTGTTTTGGAAAGAATCTGGTGCTCTCCACCCAAGACATATATATATATATATATATATATATGATGAATTCTGACGATTTTGGTCAAGTTGAAAAGAAGACAGAATTCCCTTGTATTTGATATTTATTTCAAATGAGTCCAATTATGTTTATTAAATAAACAGCATTTCAATATTGGAATGCTCCACTGCAATCAAATATTTGACTAATATCTTTATATCAACAGACACATGTTCTAAAGTTGCTAAAAACACATTTAAAAGCATGCTTCATTCAAGACTTTAAAATCAGTTTTCGAACATTATATGTCATTAAAGAGTAAAAAAGCCAAAAAGAAAAAAAGAAGAAAAAGAAAATGATAAACTTTAGACACAAATGTCCTTGTTTCACTTACCCTCAACATACCTTCTCAGACAAGCCCTCTCCAACTTTCTCTTGGAAGGAAAAGCAGAACGAATACTCTGTGCTCTTGGCCTTTTGCCCTGTCAGGGGAAGTAATGAAAGGTTTCCCTCTCTATTACGCTAACATGTGCTGTGGAGTTGCTTCCCTTGTTCAGTGAACTGGCAGTTTGGGACCACTATCTATCCTCAAGATCAAGGACATTCTTTTCGACAGTCTGAGTGGGACGTCCAAATCACAAATCACAGAGGCAAAGACTAGCATACCTCTGTCATATAACCAAATGTTTTTACGTCAACGTACAGTGCAGATGTAGAGATTTACATCTGTCATGCTAACGATTGTGACGTAACCTCCCCTCACATCATCAATCCTGTCATCTATCCTGAAAGACCAACCAACACACAACTGTCACAATCCGGGAACCAACCCAAAGATTTGATTTTTTCACCAATCTGTACTCTCCCGATATAGACTCAAAGATCATGCTGTAAAATTTCTGCTGCTTATCAAACCTCCACCATGTCTGTGTGTGTGCTTGGGTGAATGACTTCAACATATTATGGTGCACGTCCCACTCTGACAGTGTATCCACCAAATTGGGTCTCACAATTCTTTTGCTGTCTGTAATAAGTTAAGTTATTCACTTACAAGTTACAATTTATGGTACCGTAATAAGTTAAAAAGAACATTCTACACACAATTTTGAGCAATTCTGAAAAATGATAATTTAGAGGAGAAAAAAATCATTCTCCCCCTCCC